AGTAATTATGGTGTGATTGAAGCTTCTCCAGAGAGAACTGCTGACACCTCTGTCTTTTTCCTGTAAACATGGGGAGATGAAAATAGACACTTGGAGCTGCTGTGCGTGTCACTCCAAAGATGTCTGTTGTCTCTTCCACGGCAACACAGAGGCTCAGCTGTCATTTCCTCCTTCTCTCTGCACGGTGGTTTGTATGCCGACTGTCAAAAGCCCCAAATCTATAGTCTTTTAGCATCAGGTTTCTGTCACTTTTTTTTTTAAGTCTTTTTTTTCGCAGAAGAAACACACAGAAATCGTCTGTACCCCCTACCCCTGCGGAGAGGAGAGGGAAGAGCTTTAAAATGCACGCGCGCACACACACACGCACGCACGCGTGACAGCAGCAACCTAAAAACAAGCTTTTTGATCAGTCACAGTTAACTTGAACACCTTCTAAGAGAAGGAGCAGGAATATTAATTGCGCTGGTGCGTTTTGTGTCTGCAGCCTTTCCCCTTGAGGGTGGCAGCCAAGAAGCCGGCGCTGGGGGCTCGGGAAGAGGAGGGTTCTGCCCTCCCTCTGCCCACCAGACACTCTCTGCTCCCGGTGGCACTGGTCTCATTTTCCTGGGGACACCTGTGATGGGCCAGTAGCTGGAGCAAGTCAGAGCTCTTCCCCGAGCCCTGAACCTCACCTGCGTCCTCCCCTCTCTGGACTGATGGGAGGCGACGCTTCAGCCTAGAGTGTTCTCGAGACAAGACTCTCAGTAAATAGGGCACACCTGGAGGACACTCTGAACACTTACCTTTGAGGTAGGTCCCAAAGGAAGTTGGAATGTCAGAGCAGCAGGAACTTGCAGCCTTCTTGTTGCCTGGGTCTAAGAGAGGGGGCTGAGGCCGGCCAAAGTCACACAGCAAAGCCAAGCTGGGCACCTTCTGTAAAGACATGGTTATAAGACTCCTGGTGCCCAGCTCCAGCCCTGCAAATATAGTTTGGACTGCCCCGCAGTTGGCCCAGCTGAGGACAGAAAAGCAGGGAGGCGGGCCTGGGTGTCTAGGAGTTGAAAATGAGGAGGGCTCCTGCTACTGGCCTGTCCAAGATGGCACTAACACGACTCTGTGGCCAGTGTAAGGATGGGCTTTGCAAGTTTCTAGAATATTCCAAAATGTACCCAAACTCATCACTAGAAGTCCTGTTTCCAACCCAATACGTATCCAGTTCGAGTATGTACCAGGATGGGAGGACCAGCAGGACTTTGTCAGTGTCGTGCTCTTGGTGGCTCTTGGGAAATTGCTTTATTTCTGGTAATAAGGTTTCTAGGCTAATTGAAAACTTGCTCCTCCAACATTATCGTTGTATCTGCCATTTTGGAGACGGAGATTTCCCAAGGTTCTGCACGCACTGATCTTTCTAAACACATTGCTCAGCCATTCCCCTTTCTGGTGGCTTGGCGCCGTCGTGTTTGTTTGGGGTCGTCATGTTTTGTGTTGTGTTTCTTTCAGACAGGGCTGAAGTGTCACCAAGGCTGTAGTGGAGTGGTGCAGTCATGACTCACGGCAGCCTCGACCTCCTGGGCTCAAGCAATCCTCCCACAAAGCACACACCACCACCCCCAGCTAATTTACCATTTTTTTTTGTAGAGACAGGGTCTCCCTACATTGCCCAGGCTGGTCTTCAACTCCTGGGCTGAAATGATCCTCCCACCTTGGCCTCCCAAGTAGCTGGGACCACAGGCACATGCCACCACACCCAGCTCATTATTTAATTTTCTGGTAGAGATGGGGTCTCATTATGTTGTCCAGGCTGGTTTTGTTTTTTTGGGGTTTTTTTGTTGTTGTTGAGACGGAGTCTCGCTCTGTCACCCAGGCTGGAGTGCAGTGGCGCATCTCAGCTCACTGCAAGCTCCGCCTCCCGGGTTTACGCCATTCTCCTGCCTCAGCCTCCCGAGTAGCTGGGACTACAGGCGCCCGCCACCTCGCCCGGCTAGATTTTTGCATTTTTTTAGTAGAGACGGGGTTTCACTGTGTTAGCCAGGATGGTCTCAATCTCCTGACCTCGTGATCCGCCCGTCTTGGCCTCCCAAAGTGCTGGGATTACAGGCTTGAGCCACCGCGCCCAGCCCAGGCTGGTTTTGAACTCAGCTCAAGCAATCCTCCCGCCTTGGCCTCCCAAAGTTCTGGGATTACAGGTATGAGCCCCCACACACCTGGCCTGTGCTGAGTTCTATGTCCCTGTTCCCCAGGCTGTCTATAATGACTTTTCTCAGTCACTCCTCTGTTTCTGCCGCCATCAGCCTTTTTACCCTTTCCTGGTTTGTGGCTCTGAGCTGCTCTGCAGAAAATGATGACGGACCCATTTGAGCTGTGTTTTACAAGAGTCACGGTGAGGCCTGAGGAACTCCCGAGGGATGTGAGGGCTTGGGCCGCTGCATAAACTTGGAGAGAGGCCATTTCCTGCTCAGCAGTCACAACTAAATTCAGACGGTGGAGACTGCCGAAGGCTACAGCCCCCACCAGTGAAACGGGATGGGCTCTTTGGTGGCACGCGATACTCGTATTTGCACCTGGTTGCTGTGAGGAGCTTTCACAAGCATGTCACCTGACACCAGTATATCAGGGGTTTACAGATGAGAGAACCAAACCTCCAGAGGTTCCCTTCGGCCCAGGTACACAGAGCCATGGTGAGCACCCAAGCTTTTCCTCCACAGCAACAGCCCGGACTTGGGCTTTCTCTCATGCTCTGGTTAGCAGTTGATCACTTTGCCAAAGGCCCTTCGAGGCCACCTGGAGCCGAACGGGAGACCCCGGTGCTGGGCCCGTTCCCCCTCCAGTTGGCTGGTTAGTATTAGGCAAGCCAGTCCCCTCCCCAGGCCTCAGGTTCTCATTTGTAAAACTGGTGTGTGGGACTAGATTTAAGGTGAGTCCAGAGTTTGCAGAGCGGCCTCCGTTCCTCCCAGCACAGCCTCTGCCATCTCTTCTATATGCTGGGCTCCTGCCGCAGGCTGCTGGAATACTAAGTTGGCAGCTAACAGTCGGGGGAACACGGTACCGGATTGATCTAATGCAAGCTTTGACATTTCTGTGATTCTAAGACTTAAAGATCAAAGACTGGAGGAGTTCTCCAAGGAGGAAACTTCTGGTAGGGCACAAGGGCTCGGCAGACTCAGCCTCCCCAGATCCCCGGTGGGCTTCAGAGTCAAAACCAATATCCTTCATGGTTTTTATATTTTTTTAATTTTAAACTTGTGGTAAAATACACGTAACATAAAATGAACCATTTTAAAATGCGTAAGTGTGCCGCTCAGCGGCATCCGTTCCCAGGGCTGTGCCACTCAGTGGCATTAGGTCCGTTTGCAGGGCTGTGCCGCCGTGACCACCATCCACCTCCAGAACATTTTCGTTTTGCAAAGCTGAGATTCTGGCCCCATGAAACACTCCCCATTTTCCCTACCCCAGCCCCTGGCAGACACCATTTCTGTCTGTATGATTTTGACGACTCGAGGGGCCTCCCATGAGTGGAACATACAGTGTTTTTGTGCCTGGCCTTTGCACTTAGCGTCATGGCCTTATGTTGATGCTGTGGCATGTGTCAGGATTTCCTTCTTTTTTTCCTCTCTCTCTTTGTTTTAGACGGAGTCTTGCTTTGTCACCCTGGCTAGAGTGCAGTGGTGTGAAATCAGCTCACTGCAACCTCTACCTCCCGGGTTCCAGTGAGCCTCCTGCCTCAGCCTCCCAAGTAGCTGGAGCTACAGGCATGCAGCACCATGCCCGGCTAAAGTTTTTTGTATTTTTAGTAGAGACGGGGTTTCACCATGTTGGCCAGGCTGGTCTTGAATTCCTGACCTCAGGTGATCCGCCTGCCTCGGCCTCCCAAAGTGCTGGAATTATTACAGGCGTGAGCCACTGTGCCCGGCCTCCTTCCGGCTGAATAATATTTCACTGCGCATTTTGCTTCTGCACTCATCCCTCGATGGACACCTAGGTTGCTTCCGCCTCTTGGCTATTGTGATTAATGCTGCTATGAACCTGAGTTGGGTCTTTTTCAAGCAGCCACTGTAGAAAGAGGTTAGTAAATTCCCAGGATAATTGAGAACCTGCGCCTTTAGTGATGTAACGTGTAGTGGAAGAAAGGAAGTTCTTGGGGTAGAATCCCTGGAGATGGGGGAGCTATGGGCCCTGCTCCACCCAGACAGCAGCTGCAGGGCAGGCTTGCCCAAGGCCAGGTCTCTGAAGTGGATGAGAGAGGTTGCACTCCTGGGGCAAGAGGGAGCCTGGGCTGTGTGGTGTGGGCAGTCCTGCCTCTTGGTACCCCATTGTCCTCTGATGCAGTAGGGCCTTACCCCAGACCCAGCTCAGCCCAGGGCCAGGCACTTCTGTGTCACTCAGAGATCATCTGTTCCAAGCAGGTTGTTTTCCAAATGGAGGGACTGGGCCTGAGGTCGCAGAAGGGGACTTGAGCAATCCCCTCTCCCCTGACCTTCCAGGGTTGGGCCTCCATGGCCAGTTGACTTACAGGGCAGCAGACAGCACTGGTGAGGGACTCGGGGGCCTACATTGAGTTCCCAGCTCCACCTAGAGCAAGCCCCCTCTCCTCCTGGGCTCAGTTTCCCCATCTGTACAGTGGGGTCAGCCTGGGTGATTACCCAAGCCCTCTGCCACTCAGTGGTCTCTGGAAAGACCTGGCCGCAGGGGCCCCACAGGCTGAAGGTGGCACGTGGGTACACATGTACATGTATGTGCACAGCCGTCCCCCTCCCCTGGCTCCCTGGTGGAAGGGAGGAAGGGATATTTGGGGCTCTGGGCTCTACTGTAGTCGCTTTAATTACAGGCTTTCAACCTCGGGCCGGTGGGCACGCATGGGGAGGGAGGGGTTGCTGCTCCGAAACCCTGTCATTTTCTAGCATCGGCGGGCCCCTTCAAAGGGGGCATCTAGACATTTTCTCCGCAAGCTGCAGAGTGGACTGTCGTGGCCCCAGCATGAACATAATGACAGATGCATTTTGCAGCAAGCTGGGAGTGAATGGGTCTGACCGGCTTGTCTCCCGTCACACGAGTCATTATTATTATTTTTTTTTTTTGTCATTTGCTGACAGTTTGGGTTTCATGCGTTTCTCTCTTTTTTCTCCTTTTCCCCCTGCCTGGAAAAATGGCTAGGTATCTACGAGACCCCAGCAGGCACCATCCTTTACCACGCTCATTTAGACATCGAGGCCTTCACCATGGACCGAGAAGTGCGCAAAATCAAACAGGGCCTGGGCTTGAAATTTGCTGAGCTGGTGTATACCGGTGCGTAAGACTCTACGACTGTCCCCTCTAACCGCCCCACAAGGGATCCCAAATCACCGTCCGGCCCTCGGGCCTGGCCCTCCCCTCCGTATCAGCACCTTCCTCCCCTGCCACCCACTGCCATCCTCGTGTGAGACCCCAAAAGGTGCAGGCCAAAGGGGGTTGAGGGAAAGTGCAGGCATGACGGAGCAAGGGGATGCTGGAACCTGCCTTGACATGGGGTGTGTCCAGGGTGATGCACCAGCCTCCACCGCCTACAGTTTGCATGACTCCAGCACGTGCCAGGCGCTGGGCACTGCGGCGACATGCATCACCCCACATGGTCCTCACAACTTTCCCAGAAGGTCTGCGGCTCCCTGTACACATGAGGAAACTGAGGCTCTGAAGGAAAGCCTAAAACCAGAAGTGGCCTAGCTGGGTTTGACCCCTAAGTCAGGCTGTCTCCAGGCAGAACCTGGACCTATTCTATGAACTTGAGGGAGAGGCTCTGTGGACCAGGAACTCAGCCCCAGACCCCAGTACTGCAGAAGCCAGATCGTGACCATGAAACCACTGAGGTGGCCACAGGGCCTGCACCTTGCCACACACCCAGCCAATGTGTGGAAGGACCAGTGGGTGACATGAGCACCTGAGGCGGGGGTGTCCCCGTTTTGCAGGTGAGGAGTCCGGATTTCCATGCCTTGCCTGGATTCCAGCCTTGGAATCCTGACTCCAAAATCCAATCCTCATATGGTGTAACAGGGGTCCCCAAACTCCAGTCCCTGGGTCAAATCCAGCCTGTCACCTGTTTTTGTTCAGCCCATGAGCTAAGAATAGTTTTTACGTTCTTATTTATCTATTTATTTGGGGCAGACTTTCACTCTTGTTGCCCGGGCTGGGGTGCAACGGTGCGATCTTGGCCCACTGCAACCTCCGCCTCCCTGGTTCAAGTGATTCTCCTGCCTAAGCCTGCTGAGTAACTGGGATTACAGGCACGCGCCACCACGCCTGGCTAGTTTTTGTATTTTTAGTAGAGTTAGGGTTTCACCATGTTGGCCAGGCTGGTCTCAAACTCCTGACCTCAGGAGATCCGCCAGCCTTGGCCTCCCAAAGTGCTAGGATTACAGGCATGAGCCACTGCATCTGGCCAGTTTTTACATTTTTAAATGGTTGGGAGGAAAAAAAAATTTAATGCTATTTCATGACAAATTATATAAAATTCAAGTGTTGCCGGGCACGGTGGCTCACGCCGAGCGAGGTGGCTGTTTTTGCATTGTCTGTGGCTCCCCTGGAGTGGCAAGGGTAGGTTGAGCCATTTTGAGAGAGACCCTAGGACCCGAGGAGCCTCAAATATTGGCTCTCTGGCCCTTCCCACCCCTACTCCATAACATACACATACCCCTGATTTGGGCATTACATTAAATAGTTGCCCTGAGCTGTGGGAGGACAGGCTGTTGCCTGAGGCCGACCCTCACATCTTTGGGGGCCTGGACATCAGGGGACCCGTGCAAAGTTAGTATTAGTTAATCTAATAGCTTCCTGGGCTAAGCTCTCCTCCCCTCGCCTCTTCCCCTCCAGTCTCAGATTTTGTTTCCTTTTAAGCCTCCTAATCACTGTAACTCATCTCAGGATTTCAGGAGGGCTCGGCGGTTATTGGCTGGCATTATTTCTCCCTGCCATTGTTCCTGGCAGCTTTGAAGCCGAGTTCTGCCCCCCTTCCCAGGTACAGACAGGTGCTTAAATACCATTGTCTCCTGCGGGCTTTCCAGCCTGGTGGGACTGCAACCCTGAAAGAAGGATTTTACTTACAAAGTGAGAGAGTTATTAAGATGTGGCAGAGGAGGGAGCACCTGGCTGGGCTGCTCCGGGGCCTCCATAGAGGCTGATCCCACCGTGGCCGTGGCCGCGGCTGCCACTTATCTTACTGTCTTGCTGCCAGGCTCTGAGCTGGGCACCTGATGGGGTATTATCTAATATTAGCTGTGCAGAGGTGAGGAAACGGGGGCCCCCAGGTGAAGACACTTGCCCAGGCTCTCCTGGCTGGTGATGGGCAGCTTTGAGCTGGGGACAGGCCAGCTGTAGCGGCCAAGTTCCCAGTTATTCCGACAGATTCCAGGATGCTCATGATCAAGGGGCGCGGCGGCACAGACAGGGGAACCCTGGATGTAGGGCACAGTTTGGCTCCTGGCTGCGATCACGGTGCCTCTACACCGGACTGGCTGGGTTGAGTCCCTGCTCTGTCCTGTCAGCCAGCGACAAGCCGTCTACATCCCAAACTGAGGTACAATGATTAGGAGACTTAAAAGGAAACCAAACCTCAGAGTGGAGGTGAGGGACAGTAGGGGCTTCTTCTTGGTGGTGATCACTAATACTAACTTTATCCTGGTCCGCTGACATCCAGGGCTCCACAAACACCAAGACGGGCCTCGGGCAGCAGGCTGACCCCCACAGCTCAGAGGGGCTGTTTGATGCGATTTTCCCCGTGAGGGATACAGAAATGGTACCGACCAGGGCTTTGCTTGATCATCTTACTTAACCTCCCTAGGCCTCAGTTTTCCCATCTGAAGAGTGGGAATAACAGTTCTGTCTGGTGGTGAGGACTAAAAGCATGAGTATCTGTGAAGCACCTGGAACTATGTCTGGCAGGCGAGTGGTTATTCCAGTGCGTGAAATAACTGCGAGCACCTGGCGTGGGTTCCCAATGTGGAGGCAGGGCACTTGGAGCCTTGCCTCTGGCTGGGTTAATGGTCTTGAGCAGGTCTGTCTCTTCCCTGAGCCTCAGTTTCCCCTCCTGTCAAATAAAGGGCACCAGGCTGAGGGCACGCCAGGGTCTCTTCCCAGTCCCGTCTAGCTCCTGGGTGGAAAGCCCACCATTCCTCCAGGAATGGCATCCAGGGTTAGCCTGGCAGGACCCCAGCTTCAAGACCCTGGCAGGGCCCAGTGGAGCGTCTCATCCAGGGGGTATAGCTCACCTCTTCTCCCCTCACCTCCATTTCTTCAGCAATACAATGGGTATAAGGTGCAAGGCACACAGAATTGCTCCAGTTAGAAAGGGTTGCATGTGTTTGGTTGGGGTTAGCAGCATGGGGGAGGGGTCCCTCTCCAGCTCAGCCCTACGCCCCACCCACAGTGTATCTGCAGGTCTAGGGGGTGCAGGGTCTCCCCCGATGCAGCTTAAGCCAGGCTCGCTGTCCCCCAACCCAGGCTGGGTCTGCTGGGAAAAGAAATCTGAGCAGAAGACCCCCGTGGGGGCAGAGGTAGAAAATTCTGAGATAAAGCCCAGGCCAGTTGCTCCCACGGAGATCTCTGTCCTATCTCTGGCTCCATCTCTTGCCTGTCTTCCAGCCTGGAAACTTAATGGGCTAATTATCCCCGCTCTGTCGGAGAGATGGCCAAGCCCAGGACACCAGGGCATGGGGGGCTGGGAGAACATCAGTGGCCCCCTCCACAAGGGTCTCAGGTGTGTTGGAGAAAGCCCTGGGCCAGAGTTAGGAGTGCTTCATCAGACCTGGGCTCTTCCACAGTCTTGCTGTGTGGCCTTGCACAGGCTGTCTCCCTCTCTGGGCCTCTCTCCCTGTGTACAGTGAGGGCTGGCACACAGCATGGTGTTCAAACTGCAAATGCAAAACGCTTTGCACTCTGCGTTCTCTCACTGAATCCACACAACCTCTGGTTAGTCATGTTTTCTCACTGTGCAAATGAGTAAACCGAGGCTCAGGGAGGTTACATCACTTGTCCAGGTGTGGCTGGGATGTGGACTCAAAGAATGGGACACTGGAGAGCAAGGGCTCAACCTCTACTCTCCCTGCTTGGCCCTCCCCCGCCTCTGCAAGCCCCAGGACCCCATCCCAGAGGCCTGTCCCCTTTCCCACGGAGGGCCTCAGCAGGTGCCCCCAGGGGCCTGGGCCTCCCACAATAGCCGCAGCCCCTGGGCTGACCCGGCCCTTTATCAGGGCAGGAGATCATGCACCATCTGGCCCCGCAGCTGCCCAGGTGGGCTCACCTTCCCGGCTCCGTTTCAGGAAACCCTAGCCTTGCCCTGTCCCTCCCCCAAGCCATGGCCGGCCTGCCTGCCGCCCCTTGGTCCCAGCCTCCATCAGAAGCGGCTAGAGAGAGGCCCGGGCCAGACTGGGGTCTGAGCGCTACCCCTCCCTGGCCTTTAGGGCTCTGGGGGAGAGGGGAGGAAGCATGTTTCTCAGGCACCTCCTGCCCCCACCTACACACCAAGGGATGTTCTGGCCATAGAGAAAGCTCCGAGTTGATAGTAGGAAGCAGAGTTGTTACAACTTGGGCCAACAGAAGTCAAATGGAGGCTCCCCACTTCCAGCCTGTGTGATCCTGGAGAAGTTTCTTAACTTCCCTGAGCCTCCCTTCCTCACCCAGAAAGGCGAAATGCTAAGAGAGTGTCTCTCAGAGGGCTGTCTGTTAGGATTCAGGGAGCTAGCCCAGATGAAAGCCTGAGCGCGGTGCTGCTGCTTATCTATGCAGAAATATTCTATCTGCCCAGGAAAACAGTAGCAGGTGCAGAAAACAGCCCAAGGATTCCAAGGGGCCTGCCCACCCCGAAGGCACCTAGGACTCCAGTTCACGGTAGCCCCTAAAGCCGGTGCGGCTCAGTGCTAGGGGCTCCACACGAAATATTACTGTGACATCCCCACTCAACAGATGGGGAAACAGAGAGGGGAAGGTTATGCATGGCCATGGTCTTGAACCACCACCTAGCTGCCTGCACTGGACACCCACATCACCAAGCCCCAGGCAGCACGTGCCTCTCAGTACTGTCTGAGCCTTCTGCTTCCCCCAGAAGATTAGAGCCTCCATTGGGCCAGGGATGGGGGCCCTTTACCATTGTGTCCCCAGTTGCTGGCTTGTGGCACTTCCTGAATGCCTACGGCATGAAGCAGTGGGTCACTTCCCTCCTCCTGACCCTTAGGGAAGTGACCTAGGTGGTCACCTCCTTACCCACAGGCCCTTTGCAAGGTTAGAGGGCAAGACTATGAAAGCATGGTCCTCAACTCAGCCGCTGGCAAGCGCACATTGTACCAGACGCATGGGAGGCAGTCATGGTCTGCATGGCGGGGTAAAGCATGCGGCACCCATCCTGTGCCCTTGCTGTGTAGGAGGCCTCCCTAGTGATACCCCGTTTTCCTCCCCGTAGGTTTCTGGCACAGCCCTGAGTGTGAATTTGTCCGCCACTGCATTGCCAAGTCCCAGGAGCGAGTGGAAGGGAAAGTGCAAGTGTCCGTCCTCAAGGGCCAGGTGTACATCCTCGGCCGGGAGTCCCCACTGTCTCTCTACAACGAGGAGCTGGTGAGGTAGGCGCCCCACACCTCATCCTGACCCCGACTTGGGCACAGAGCCTATCTTTTGACTGGATCCTCAAGACATCTGTACCTGAGCACATGTCAGGCACCATGCAGAGGATAGAGCAATGGTCACCGAGGATATAGACACCACTATGCTTCCGTGGAACTTACAGGCTAGCTGGGAGAAAGGCATGGATCAAACCATCACCAGAATGTAGAATCAGACAAGGTGGCAGCAGGCTATGACGAATGCAGGATAGTCTGGCTGGGTATAATAACTGGGATTGGCTAGGAGGTGTGGTGCATCCCTGTAATTTCAGCTGAAATTAGGAGCCTTAGGAGGCCGAGGTGGGAGGATTGCTTGAGCCCAGGAGTTCAAGACCAGCCTGGGCAACATAGAAAGACCTTGTCTCAAAAAATATATATGTGTGTGTGTGTATATATATATATATAGAATAATTGGGGTTGTGGAGAAGCTCCTTTGCTATTCAAACAATAGCAGAGTTAACAGGTGAATAGCAGGGAGGGGTGGGAGGGCAAAAGAGGCCAGGGGGAGGGAGCCGAAGCTAGATCTTAAAGGGAAAGGCAAGATCAGATCTGCGCATTTAGAGGGTCCTTCTGGCTGCTCTGGAGAACGGATTTGAGTAGGTGGGAGGGCACCTGTGGAAATGCGGTAGCTTGGACCAGGCTGATGACTCCCGGACTAGATAGCAGCAGGCGAAGCTGACACAAATCTAGGAGGAGGGATTGAAATGACTTGGATGTGGAGGGAGATGGAGGATCCAGAATCACTCTAGTGTCTGGGGTCGTGAGCAGCTGGGTGCAGTCCCTGGGTTGAGGAAATGCTCTTGAGGAAGGATCATGCATTTGGATTTAGGTGTCATGAGCATGGGTTTCTTTTGAGATAGCTGGGAAAACTAACTAGAAGGCCGTCGGACACTTGGGTCTAGAGTTGAGGAGAACCTAGGCTGAACACCCTGGAGCATCATAGGCATTTTGATGTTCTCTGAAGCCCTGGGCCAAGAGAGACTGCCGAGGGGAAAGTGTGGAGTGAGACAAGAAGGGAACCAGCTGGGCAAGATGGCATACACCTGGAATCCCAACTCTTTGGGAGGCCGAGGCAGGAGGATCACTTGAGGCCAGGAGTTCAAGACCAACCTGGGCAACATAGTGAGACCTCCTCTCTACTAAAAATAAAATTAGCTAAGCGTGGTGGCATGTGCTTGTGGTCCCAACTACTTGGGAGGCTGAGGTGGGAGTGTCTCTTAAGCCTGAGAGATCAAGGGTGCAGTGAACCATGACCATGCCACTGTACTCCAGCCTGGGCAACAGAGCAAAACCCTGTCTCAAAAAATAAATACATAAAATATTAGCCAGGTGTGGTGGCATGCACCTGTAGTCCTAGCTACTCAGGAGGCTGAGGCAGGAGGATAACTTGAGCCCAAGAGTTGGAGGCTGCAGTGAGCCAGGATCGCACCACTGCACTCCAGCCTTAGTAACAAAGTTAGGCACTGTCTCTTAAAAAAAAAAAAAAAAGGCGGGGGTTAATGCAAGTGGAACCATGAGGAGATTTCTCATTGATGGACCAGGCAGAAGGTGGCCAAGGAGGAGCCCCTGGATAGGCAGGAGGGCCCTGGTGAGCCAGGGCCAAGGTGGCAGCTAACGACTGGCCACTCCTGCATCCGTCCCGTGGATGCGAGTGACCTGCACCAACGGACGAGGTGTCACCTCCAGAGGTCACCTGGTTAAACTAGAGATGGGGCAGGCCCCTGTGGGACAGACAGCCCCCACTGGACGAGGGTCCCCCAAGGCCCAGCTTAGCTCAGGCCGAGGCCAGCCCCTCCCTCCTGGAGGCTGGTTGGGAATTAAAGTACGAGTCTTGCTTGCCAGTCAATATTTTTTTCTTTCCCTTCTCCTTGCCATGTTGAGTTTCTCCCCCCTGCAATCTTTCTAAACACGTTATAAGCCATAAATACAACTGAATCAGTTTAGATCAGTCGGGGTAAATGTCAAATTATCTTCTCTCTTTCTCTCTCTGGCTCTTTCTTCCCTCCCCCTCCAAATCAACAGCCTCTAATAATCTGTCCAACCCTTCATTAAGCCTTACAGTCTCACTCAGGGAGATTAAATGAATAAAGTAAAAAGGGAAAGGGGGAAAAAAAAGAGAGAAAAGCAGGAGCATTTATTCTCACTGTGTCTCCGACCATTTCCCTTTTCTTTTTGATTTCTACATCGCTGACTTGAAAGCCCTTGAGTGACAGCGTCACAGGGCCCAGCGAGGAAGCCGCGAGAGGCAGCAGAGCTGGAAATGCCGCGGCACAGTCGGTAGAAAGTAACGTAATTATAGAGCAGGTCAGAGCCACTCGAATGAGCAAAAATAAAAGCACAAGAGGTTTTCTGTAGACCGTCAGGGGAGGTAAAAAAAAAAAAAAAAAAAGAAAAAAAAGAAAAAAAAAATTCATTGTAAACTCTTTTTCCACCTCCCCTCTCACTTCAAACCACAATTTTTAAAAGAGGTTTTTTAAGTTTCTGAGAGACCCCTCTTGGAACTCCCAGCAGCCTCATGGGACGTTTGTCCCTGGACGTGGGCCCTCTTTGCAGGGGCTGCCAGGGCAGTTGGGAAGGTCCCGCCTTGGGGAACAGGATGGGGAGAGTTTGTTGTGACTTGTGAGAGATGGAGGTGAAGGGACAGATGGTCACGGAGGTGGGATTCTGTGTCCTGCATTCTCCCTGCGCTGAGGACAGGGGCCAGTGGGGCTGAGGCTCGGTTTCCAAAACAAGGTCTGACCAAGGGATCTGAAGAGGTTGGTGGTCTAGTTTGGTCCAACCCTTCCTAAGCACCGATTCTGCACAGAAAGGGGTGGCCAGCAAGTCTGGCATCTCCTCCTCTTCCAGGGAATGAAAGCTCCTAGTGGCTTCAGTGCCTGAGCCCTGGAGGGGCCATGGAGGTATAGAGGAGGGAGTAAGGGAAGTCAAGGAGGTGCAGGAGTACGGGATTGACTTTGCAGAGAGTTCCACGCGCCCACCGGCTTCAAGGCCTGGTGAAGGTCAGGGCCCGGGTCCTGAACGAGTCACTGGGGCCAGGCAGATGCAGAGACCTCATCGGTTCTTGTAAAAAGTCCACAGTCTACAAAGAACCAGTCAGAGGTCCAGCCTCAGGGTCTCAAAGCAGCAGATCCGCCTGCCCCCCGACACCAACCCCCCCTCACCCCCATCAATCTCACTTCTCTAGAGAGGGCCCCTGAGGGGACAAGCCACCTCCTTGTCACTGGGAACCTTGAATCAGCTTTGTCCTAGGACTGCAATTCTGCAGAGGAGGGGCTGATTCAGAGCAGGACATGACAAGGGACCCCATCCTCTCAGAGGCTTGTAGAGTAGGAGGCATCTGAGTCCACGTGCCCTAAGTGCTTAGCACAACCATAATTAACGAAGGCAATGGGTGATTGATTGCTTGTGTCTGGCCCCTCCCTGTGGACACCACTCTTGCTCTTCCTTCCTTGGCACCTGGCCCAGCACCTGGCAGGCAGCAAAAGGTTTAATAAATGCCTGAACAAATGAATGAGTGAATGAATAGTGTTAGTACTAGTGGGTGCTCACTGTGTGCCAGGCACCAGCTACATTATTTCTCTTTTTTTTTTTTTGAGACGGAGTCTCACTGTGTCACCCAGGCTGGAATGCAGTGGCCGGATCTCAGCTCACTGCAAGCTCCGCCTCCCGGGTTCACGCCATTCTCCCGCCTCAGCCTCCAAGTAGCTGGGACTACAGGCACCCGCCACCACACCCGGCTAGTTTTCTGTATTTTTAGTAGAGACGGGGTTTCACCATGTTAGCCAGGATGGTCTCAATCTCCTGACCTCGTGATCCACCTGCCTCAGCCTCCCAAAGTACTGGGATTACAGGCTTGAGCCACCGCGCTCGGCCCCAGCTACATTATTTCATGTGGAACCAAAAGTGACGTTGAGAGCTAACCACGCATTTGACAGGTGCGAGGCCGAGGCTCCGAGCGCAGGAATACTGGCCTGGGCTCTCTGGTGGTATGTGGCGGAGCCAGGACGCAAACCCCAGTCAGCCGGCTGGAGTGACTGCCATGGTTAGGAAGGTTGGGAGGAGCAGCTAAGGGTGGAGAGCCCCAAAGCAGAAGGCTGGTGAGTCTGGGAGATGGAAACTGTAGAGAGGTAAAAATCTGCTGAGTACAGCAGCAGTCAACCCAGCATTTTCCATGACACACTGGCAGTGGGTACCCAGGTTTCAGGATGGATTAGGTGAAGTCTAACTGGTTGGACAAATGAGGGGGAAGGTGACTTCATGGGCCAATCTTGCTGTGAATGCTGGAGGCCTCCCTGCAGCTTGCAAAATGCCTTTGTGTTGTTGCAATTCACACCCTAAGGCCTTCTGAGCCTTCAGGTCAGTGGATGCCATCCACACAGTCCCGAAGGCACAGCTGGCTTGGACGCGTGCTCCATTTACAGACGGAGTGCTCTGGTTGGTAGGACTTCATAGGGCTAGTTCTGGGGCGGCTGCTCCTAGCCTCCCGCCACATTGTGTAGCAGGGAAGAGGCTGCTGTGTGCTCCACTAGGGCGCTCCAACCTTTGGGTTGGTGCCTGGCCCAGAAGAGGGTTCCCGGAGTTGTACAGAAATTAAATGGAAAGCCGACGTGCAGGGAGGGTTTGGACCCATGCAGGGGAAATGCCCTGGTGTCTGGGAGGTGGGCTGCCTTTGGCCCCAGCAGTGCTCCCTTCAAGCAGAGGCCAGGGCCAGGCTGAGCTGACAAGCTTCTACTCTCCTTGCAGCATGAACGTGCAGGGTGATTATGAGCCCATTGATGCCACTGGGTTCATCAACATCAATTCCCTCAGGTGAGAAGCTCAGGGCCCTGATGGGCCTTCAAAGCCCCCAGGTGTAAAGGGTAGGCTTTAGATGGGACCTTTCCGCTGCCCTGCCCTAGACAAACCCCACTTTCCTGTCCCCTCTGCCCATAGCATCCTCAGAGGCATGCTTTGATAGCCAACAGTAACAGAGGGTCCTAGACATTGGGGTCCTAGGTTCCTGTGTCCCACCCGGTGCCTCTGATACCTGCCCTCCCCTCCCCCTAAGCCACAGGGACTCCACTATGCGCTCCTTTGCAGAGCAGGTTAAACAAGGAAATAGCGTAGAGGTGGAGAGAAGCCTTTGTTTTCTGTCACCATACCTGAGCTGTAGGTCTAGCTGGAAGCCATCCTAGCCACGTGGATCTCCATGGCCCAGGAGGGTGGTATACATCATCTGAAGTCACTCAGACCTTTGATCCTCTGGGAGTCACCAGTAAGGGTGTCAGCTGTACGTGCCGCACAGATTCAGTGAAGGTTCAACATGAGCCTGTGGAAATCAAGCATGCGGCTTGGGCTCAGACCCTGGCATGCAGGAAGAGCCAGGGGGCAGTGCCAGCAGCAAGCACTCTCAGCCCAGGGCTGATGTGCTCAAGG